TGTGAAGCCACATCAGTGCCCTTTCTGTGATTTTTCTACTACAAGACGGTACCGGTTAGAGGCCCACCAATCTCGACACACAGGTGTTGGCCGCATCCCTTGCAGCTCCTGCCCACAGACATTTGGTACCAACTCAAAACTGCGTTTACACAGACTACGAGTACATGACAAAACACCTACCCACTTCTGTCCACTCTGTGACTACAGTGGTTATCTTCGTCATGACATCACTCGCCATGTCAACAGCTGCCACCAAGGTACCCCATCCTTTTCATGCTCTCAGTGTGAGGCCCAGTTTAGCTCAGAAACAGCACTGAAGCAGCATGCTCTGCGCCGACACCCAGAACCTACACACCCATCCCCTGGATGTCCTGTAGAGGCCACTGAGGGCCCCTTGCACTGTTCCCAATGTGGCCTGCTCTGCCCCAGTCCTGCCAGCCTACGAGGACATATCCGTAAACAGCACCCAAGGCTGGAGTGTGGGGCCTGCCAGGAGACCTTCCCTAGCAGGCCAGCACTGGATGAGCATCGGAGACAGCACCATTTCAGCCACCGTTGCCAGCTCTGTAACTTTGCTGCCCGAGAGCGAGTGGGCCTGGTAAAGCACTACTTGGAACAGCATGAAGAGACTTCAGCAGCCCCCTCAGGTGGAGATGGGGATTCTGGGCAGCCCTCTCTTTGCTGCCCTTTTTGTGACTTTGCATGTCGGTATCAGTTAGTACTGGACCACCATGTAAAGGGACATGGAGGCACCCGGCTCTACAAGTGTACTGACTGTGCCTATAGCACCAAAAATCGGCAGAAGATCACCTGGCACAGCCGCATTCACACTGGGGAAAAGCCTTACCGCTGTCACCTCTGCTCCTATGCCTGTGCTGACCCTTCTCGCCTCAAGGTAAGGTCAAGCACCACATCGCAGAAATGCAAGACATGTAGGCTCTGGATGCTGTAACTTTTTTTTTTTTTTTTTTGGTGTGTGTGTGTCTATCACGTGTGAGCCTGGTGCCTGCAGAGCCAGAAGAGATGTTGGGACTTCTAGAACTAGAGTTAAGGACAGTTGTGAGCTGCCATGTGGGTGCTAGAAACTAAACCCAGATTATTTGGAAGAGCAACCAGTGCTCAGTCATCTATCCAGTTTCCTGGATTCTATAGCCTTAACAATTATACATATTCATTTAACTTCTCAAAATTTGGATTCTTCATCTGTAAAAGGGATAATACAACTTCATGAGCTTTTGTAAAGGTAAATTCCATAACTTTGCCATGATAAAAGCATTTAATACTTTGAGAATAATCTGGGTAGTAACAGCTAATATTTATTGAGCACTTAATTTAATGCCTAGTGCTGCAATTTTAATCATTTGAAAATACAGAGTGGGTCACAGGATAGGGAACTCAGTGATGAATGTTTGCCTAACATGCACAAGCTCTTGGGTTTAGTCCTCCACATCACATACATACACACAGAGCGGTAGATACTTGGTACAGATTATCAAACAGAATTAGGGGTTAGCTGACCCTACAATATAGCTAGTAACAAACAGCTGAGATCTGAGGGGAAGCACCCTGTTGTATGGGGAGTAAGCATTCTGCGTTTTATCTTCTAGTACCACATGCGGATCCATAAAGAGGAACGAAAGTACCTGTGCCCTGAGTGTGGATACAAGTGCAAGTGGGTCAACCAACTCAAATATCACATGACCAAGCACACAGGTAACTAAGTGTGCGAATTGACTGTCTTGAGTAAAGGGTTTCCCTGTTCCCTGGCAACCTTGGCCTCCCTCAGATGTTGGATGTCCTCACTCAGACTTAGAGCCTACATCAGTTTTCACCCTGGGAATAGGTACTATGCCAGCCCATTGAAATGTGTTAAACACCAAAGAGTGGGTAAACCTGAAATCCTAGACAAGTGTATTTGCAAAACCTTTCCCAGTGATTATAATACAAGTTCACACACTCTCTTACACATGGAGAACCTCCAACTCAATTTTGAGTAACCACCGAGAGATACATGGTTTCTGTATAAATGTGGTAGAATGATTGTAAGTGAAAAGAAAGGTATAAGTTGTCCCTCCCCGCCTCCTTTTTTTTTTTTTAATGTGAATTGGTGTTTTGCCTGTGTGTATGTCTCTGAGGATGCCAGATCCCCTGGAACTGGAGTTACAGACAGTTGTGAGCTGCATGTGGTTGCTGGAAATTGAACCCAGGTCCTCTGGAAGAGCAGCCAGTGCTCATAACCACTGAGCCATCTTTCCAACCCTAAGTTCCCTATTTTTAATTTGTCTTTTCCTCTCCAGTGTATGGAATCCACAAACCATGGGTTCTCTTTAAAGGAGTAATGATTGGGTACCTTCAGTTATGGCATGTGATTCCCCCATATGAGAAGGAATATCTTTTTTTTTTTTTTTTAACATTTTCTCTTTGGTTTGTTTGTTGTTTTGTTTTTCGAGACAGGCTTTGTCTGTGTAGGCCTGGCTGTCCTCAAACTCACACATCAGCATGCCTCTGCCTCCCAAGTACTGGGATTAAAGTCGATACCACCACCCGGTTAGTTCTCATTCTCTCTCTGTCTCTCAAGTTGGTAAGAAAGTGTGTCTAAATAGTCTAAGTTCTGTAATATCACATGACCAGGGAAGTGATGTTGTTCCCCATTTACCTGTCACAGTTGAGTATTCTTTACTATCGGGTAGACTGGTTACAAGTCCAGTTACTCACCAGCAGCCACTGGGACCTGTGTATATATAAGGACTGAGTGGAGAAAGGCACTGGAGTGTCAGGTTTGACTGGGACAGAAAAGTATGATCATTAGCTTGTGCTGTATTCTTTATATCCAAGTACCATACTGACTTTTTATGACTCGCTGACCCTTGTTCTTCCCTCTTCCATGGTGGTTTGTGCTTGTCCTATAGGACTGAAGCCATACCAGTGTCCCGAGTGTGAGTACTGCACCAACCGAGCTGATGCACTTCGTGTACACCGGGAGACACGGCACCGAGAGGCCCGGGCTTTCATGTGTGAGCAGTGTGGCAAGGCATTCAAGACACGCTTCCTGCTTCGCACCCACCTACGCAAGCACAGTGAAGCCAAACCCTATGTTTGCAATGTTTGCCACCGTGCTTTCCGCTGGGCTGCTGGCCTGCGACATCATGCCCTTACCCATACCGACCGACACCCCTTCTTCTGCCGCCTCTGCAGCTACAAAGCCAAGCAAAAGTTCCAGGTCGTCAAGCATGTGCGCAGACACCACCCTGACCAGGCCGACCCCAACCAGGGTGTAGGCAAAGACCCCACCACTCCCACAGTGCACCTACATGATGTGAAGCTGGAAGATCCCAGCCCTTCTGCTCCTCCTGCTCCCCCCACTGGACCTGAAGGCTGAGCCCTTACCCCACCTCTGGCTTAGGAATTACATATAATCCAAGATATGCACACTGGGACTGTAGCTAGCCTGAGGAGCTTAGGGCCTGAAGGAGGACTGGCTTTGGGATATCAGTGTGGCTGGAACACACTCCCCACCCTTGGACTCTGGCCTTTGAAATTAACAGCTATATAAAAGATAGGCTTGGACTAAAACAATTTCTTCTTGAGTATCACTATGGTTTTAACCTGTGACTGAATCTCCAGTGTCTACCATTGTTGCTATAAGGGCTTTGTTTTATTCACTCCATCATTTCTTCCTTCTTACTGCTTCATGTCCTAGTTTCTTTAACCATTTTCTAAACAGTTGTACCTAATTGCATGTGTTCCTGTGCCTCGTGTTCTGTAAGCATGTGAAACAGAAGATTACCAGCTAACAGACATGCCTGGATCTGTCCTATCATTCCTAGGTTGTCATCTGGGTTTGCCCTGTCTCCTCCCAGGCCTCTGTCCTTGTCTCTTCTACCTCAAAGAGGTCTGAAACAGCCCCAGATTACCTGCCCTGGCTCTTCCCTTATTCCCTGCTTCAAGTTCTTTTGTTTGTCAGAAGAGGATTACCACCCATTCAGCTTCCACTAGAAGCAGCTTTAACCATCCGTCAGAAGACTGGCTCAGCAGCTGCATCAGAGCATACAAGCATCAAGGCAGTGTAAGGACAACTGGGGAAGGCTGAATGCCCTGTCCTTTTGCCCCATCCCCTATGAGCCTCTCTCTATGCACTCCCTATGCAACACATGGAGGAAAGCCCTTGGAAACCTTGTTTCTCTGCATGCCTCCCACACACGCATACTTCCCTTCTTGCCCAACAATGACAGCCCATACATCCACCTGACTACCCAAATGCTATTGCCCCCAACCCTGCCCCTACATCCCCTTCTTGCCTAACAATGACAGACCATACAGGAGCCAAATTGGACAGAGAAGCTCTATTTAGACCAGCTAAGGAGCAGCAGTCCAGTGGGGACTCGGGGCTGTGCATTGTGTTCTAAAGAGTCATAGTTCTGGGGTCAGGCATCCTTCCCCAACCTTTTCCTGGGAGCCTTGATCCTTGATTGATCCTTTCGTTGGCTCTGGATTCTGAGGGACTTGTTGGTTGGAGGGGATAATGCTTCTGTAGTTTTCTCTGCTTCGAGTCCCTCCCCGTGTTTCAAGTCAGAGATGATAGGAGAGATTAACAGAAGATCTGAGGATGGGACTAAGCCTAGGGTAAGAATAAGGAGGGAACTCCTTCACAAAGTGCACAACAGGAGAGGGCAGGAAAGTCTAGATGAAAGAACAGGCCCTAGGGGGCTGGAGAGATGGCTCAGCAGTTAAGAGCACTGACTGCTCTTCCAGAGGACCCAGGTTCAAATCCCAGCACCCACATAGCAGCTCACAACTGTCTGTAACTCCAGTTCCAGGGGATCAGACACCTATGGCAAAAAACACCAAAGCACATAACAAAAAAAATGATGAAGTCTTAGGTTTGCTTAAGAAGGACAAGGTAAACTGGGCACAGTTGCTCATGCCTTTAATCTCAGCCCTCTGGAGGCAGAGGCAGGTGGACCTCTGAGTTTGAGGACAGCCTGGTCTACATAGGGAGCTCCAGACAGCCAGAGCTATATAGTGAGAGTCTGTCTTAGGGGAAAAGGGAGGAGGGGGGGAAGCAATTTTGTGCCTTGACATCCAAAGCCAGCATATCTACTCTTGCTATGGGATACCCACCTCAGTGTATTCATCCATCTCCAAGTCTTCCCGCATGCAAATGTACACAAAGATGGAAGCTGGACAGAGGCTAGTGCCATCCCTGGAGAGCAAGGATATGTGTCGGTAACCTGGAAACAGGCAGAAGGACCATATTAGGAAGGGAGCCAGAGTTGCGATATTGGCCAGGAGTCCAAGGACTGCCTCACCTTGTTTCACGCAGGTCCAGGGCAGGGTGTATTGACCAATAAAGTTATTCCGGGATTTCCATTGATAATCCTTTACCACAAAACGCAGTATTGCAAGTTCAGGCACCTGGACCCGGAAACAGAATGTCTGCCCCCAGTATGGATTAAAACCTGAAGTGGAGACAGAAATAAAGGAACAGACTGACCATCTTCATTGGGCCATACTTAGTTGCTTTTCCAGAACTCTTACTTAACCTAGATTGCCAGTCAGTACTTTACAAGTGAGGACTCAGGTGTAACATGCAGAAGCAAGGGCTACAGAAATGGCCCAGTAGTTAAAAGCACTTGCTCCTTTTCCAGCAGACCTGAGTTCACTTCCCAGAACCCATGTCTGATGGATCACAGCTGCCTATAACCCAGTACAGGGAATCTGATGCCCTCTTGGCCTCTAGGCACACATGGGTGGCATGCACACACATACACATACATAAAAACATCTTTAAAAATACAAAGCATGAGAACTTTTTCCAATTCACAAGCCTGTTAAGGGAGGGCCAGGATTTCCTGGACTATCACTTTGCCTCCCATAGGGGGTGCACAGTCACATGGACTGTACCAAATGGAGGACAGGATAGAAAGAACTTGGCAGTCTGTTCCTACACTTCCCCATACCCAGACTCTCACCATTGTTCTCCACATAGTTGGTCTCTTGCTGTCTTGTGTCTTCAGGAACACCAAAGAGCTCTACTTTCACCAGTGGATCCACAATGGACTTCTCTTTGGTGTTGTCCACTTTGGGGAGTCGTTGACCACTGATCACCTGCAACCAGAGCACTGGAATTTCATGAGCCCCTGCTCAGCCCAACCCTCCCTCACCCAGCCTCACACCCTTCAGAAAACAGGACTTGCACTATAACTTGGTAGTTCGAAAAACTAATCCTGCATAGATGGTGTATTCTAGTTTACAGCCTGAAATTTTAAATTAATTGAAAGGCTTGAACATAGGCACACCAGTACTTACTGTGCACCAGTGTACTCAGGGACTTTTGCTATCTACTGAAAGCACTTTGAACAGATAGTCCTCACAACCCTGTGAGGCAGTTATATAGCATTACCCTATCTTGCAGGTGAGTTGACTGAGGTGACAAAAAACTTGCCTAATATTGCATATCTAAAAAGTGATTTGAAACTAGGCAGTTGGCTCTAGAGTCTGCAATTGAATCAGGCTATCCTCCCTCTTCTGAAAAAAATATTCTATATAGTTATTTATTTGTTTATTTGAGATGGTCTCACTGTGTAGCTTTGGCCTGGGATTAAAGGTGTGTGCTACCATTCCTGGCAGAAAACTTTCACTGTCAAGTTGAGCCAGCACCACATCCTATCATACACATACAAGCTATTCCAGGTTCTTCCCAACAGTTTCTGTCATACCTGGACTAAGAGGGTCTTAGCCTTATAAGGACTGATGAGTCTCTCGGGATTGAAGGAACTCTGGATGTCACACAGGAATATTGGCTTCAGCACATAGCCAGAGCCACCATTCTGGCGGAAGAACCCATCACAGATATCCATGGCAACCCCCGCAGTCTGCATATTCATAGCCACTGAGAATCCCAGGGAAAAAAAGAAAAAGTCATCTTGGGATCTGGATGTGATGGTACATGTAAACTCCCCTCTTTCTCTCTCTCATACACACACACACACACACACACACACACACACACACACACACACTATTCTCTCATACACATATACACACCTATGCATGTATGTATTAACATGCATGCACATACATCCTCCTTGGCCTTCTAGCCCCTCTTTCAAGGGGAATGAGAAGACAGTAGGTGTAAAGATGCCTGCTGGAACTGGGTAGCACACTTGGAAGACTAAGGAAGGAGGACAAAGTTTGAAGCCAGCTTAGGCTATAGAACACAGCATGATCCTCAATCGGTGCCTGCTGGAAACATTCCAATAGATTGCACCATTTTTCTCCATTTTTCTTGCCCTAGCGCTCCTTTAAAACATTCTCCCACCCTACTTCCACTAGGGAATTTACCTCCCATCAGCTGATCCTCCACTCCCTCCCTGTCCCTGCTGCCTCCTCACCCATCTGACAGCCTGCATTCCAGAATTCCTGGGGGTAAAAGTTGGATGAATCTGTCCTCAGACCACTGGGATACACACGGCATAGCTGCCTGGCGTTGTGCTGTACAAAGTTGTTGCCTGTAAAAAGGTACAGGGAAGGAGACAGAAGTTCCCTGGTCCCAAGGACCCTTTCTACTTACTTCATTCTTCTTAAAGTCTGAGGCTGGCTCCAGAAAGGTGACTGCCTCCCCCAAATTTCCTTCTCCCTAGAGCTTTGTGCTCACTATTCACAGATCTTTACCTTCTCGGGTTGGGAATGTAACTTAGTCAAGTGCTTGCATAGCAGGCATAAAGCCCTGGATTTGCATCCCAGCACTGCACAAACTGGAAATAGTGGTATACAGGGTAATCCTATAACTTGGAAGGTAGAGACCAGGGGATCAGAAGTTCAAGGTGGTCCTCAATTACAGAGCAAGTTTGAGGTCAGATTGGGCTATGGGAGACTATCTTTGAAACAAAACCAGGTTTCCCATTGCCTGCTTTAAGAAGCTTCTTAACTCCGTCATCTCTCAATTGCTTCCTTGGGACTTACCACTTGCCTGCCAGACCTAAAGCTAGCCATCCCACTTCGCTTCTGACCTTCCTCCCTGATAAGGTGCCTAGCCTTGGCCTCAGAGAAAGATGAAACATCGCAGATATGGTAATTTTCTTTGGAATGAATGAAGCTGCAGAAGGGGACAGTCCTCAAGTAGACAACCAGGGCAGACAGCTCTGGGTACAAGATGGTCGTGGAATCCTGGAAAAGAATGTGGACAGGAAGATGGTATTGAGTCTGAAGTGATCTAGAGAGAAGAAGCTAGTGGCCATCCAACCTAAGCCTCTGCCCAATGCCTCCCCACTGTAGTCTCCCTCCTGCCTCACCTGGTTGGACAAGAAAGAGGACCCAGGAATGTTACTAGGTGCCTGGGCCAAAATGTGACCACAGATAAGCAGACAAGACATCGGACACGCCATAACCTGGGGGTGAGGATGGGAATAAAGGCAGTCTGCATATTCTGCTCCAATCAATTTCAGCTCTGGGTTTGGAAGGTCTTCTCTATGCTATATCTTGGGTAACCAGTCTTTTATTATTTTTAAACAGAGAGGCCTCAGTCACCCTATTTCTCAAATGAACAATAAACCTTTGGTCAAAATATATACATGATCCTTGCATGCCTTTAATCCCAGCACTCAAAAGACAGAGGCAGGTGGATCACTGTGAGTTTGAGCCTAACTTGGTCTAGACAATGAGTTTCAGGTCACCCTGGGATATGTATCAAGACTGTCTCAAAAAAAAGAAAGAAAGAAAGAAAGAAAGAAAGAAAGAAAGGAAAAGAAAAGAAAAGGCGGTGGTGGTGCATGCCTTGAATCACACCTGGATTTTTGAGGTCCCACCAATGATAGCTTTTCTCACTTAGCCTCCCCATATCTGGATACTTCTTGCTCTTCAAACTGTATCCCTTCCAAAACACTTTCTCTGACTTAACCCATTATAGCTGAGACTGAGGTCACAGCTATCAGTGGTCCAGTAGCTTCTTACTCAGCCAATAAAATAGTTGCACACAGAGAGAGGGGGGCAGGGGGAGGGAGGGAGAGAGGGAGGGAGAAGAGAGAGACATACTGACCAATGGTCTTCAGATTTGCCTTTAAGGACTTTGTGAAGAACAAAGTTGTGTCCAGAGTCACTTAGCTCCTTCATTTCTTCCTGCCCTTCTTGTCTTCTTTCTTGAACTTACCCACCTGCCCCTCAGGCCTGAACCACCCCATGCCACTTGGACCCAGGAGAGAACCAAGTGAGGGCTTCAACTAGAATGGTTCTACATTTATTCATTTTGAATAAGAAGCTTTGTCTAAGATTTCATAATCCACGAGGTTGGAAAGCCACTGAGATGTATAGATGGCACTGCCTAATGCATAGTGAGTTGCAGATACACCCGTAGGCCTCTTTCATTGAGAGGAAAGGTCTTTTTCTCCTTGGCTGTCCATCCTGGCTGGATCTAGACTCTTTAGAAACTCGCCTTCAGCTTGTGATGCATGCTGACCAAATGTCATTAAAAAAAAAAAAAAAAAAAAAAAAAACTAGTCGTGACTCACCTCATTCCCAGAGACCAGCTCCTGGGACTCAGGCTGAAGCTGAGTGTCCAGCTCAGGGTAAGCGCCTGGATCCACCTCCGACCCCTGATCTTTCTCCAGTTCTCCCTCCTCTTCTTCATCAACCTCAATATCCTCAATTGTTCGTAACTTCTTTCCTTTCACCAAGATCTTCCCTTGAAGCTGCTAGGGAACAAAAACAAGGAGACCTGTCTACTTGTCTGCTCAAGCCCCTCCTGAAGATAGTGGAGGTCTCACCATCTCAAAGGCAGAAGACAGAGAGCTGTCAGAAGTTTCCCAGGGGGTTGATCCCTCAATACACATGTCAGAGCCACTTATTCTCAAACAAACTTATGTTTCTATCCATATGAAGAATAATAAATAGGTCCTCACCCGTATTTTACACACTGAAAACTCCCTTAGGTTAAAGGTTTGCATATGTAAAGCACATAGGAGTATGAAGGAAGATGATGTTTTTGGAATAGTCTTGTCATGGAAAAGCCTTTAGAGAAGATACGAATCGGGAATTGGTTGCTCAAGCCTCCAGTTCCAGAACTCTGAAGGGAGGCAGGCAGGACTAGATGCTAAAAAGTGCCAAGCATGCTAGTGCATACTATAATCCCAGAACTCAAAAAACCCAGAGCAACAACAAAAAGAGAAGCCCTTCTTTTCAATGTTTGTCATGATGAATCATCTCACTATGCTGTTCTGTTGGTCAGAGTATAATTTGGTATTTTTTGGAGAGCAACTCAGCAATAATAATCAAAATTGTCAAAATGCAATCTCTCCTTTCTCTCTCTCTCTCTCTCTCTCTCTCTCTCTCTCTCTCTCTCTCTCTCCCTCTGTGTGTGTGTGTGTGTGTGTGTGTGTGTGTGTGTGCGTGTATGTTTGAGAAAGGGTCTCATGTAGCACAGGCTGACTTCCAGCTCACAATATACCTCCTGGGTGCTTTTGGCAAGTGCCTGTACTCACTGAGCCATCTTGTTGGCCCTAGTGGATTTATTTTCACTATTCCCTAAACTTCACTCATGCTAAGCACATGCTGTACTACTGAGCTACTTTCAGCTGCCTCCACCATCACTTCCTCCTCTTCCTCATCTTTCTCTTCCTCCTTCTTGAGGCAGGTGTTCATGAAGCCCTGGCTGGTCTTAGACTTGTCGTATGTAGCTGGGGATGAGCTTTCCTTGAACCTCTGGTTTCTCCTGTCTCCATGTCCTCTGAGTTTGATCTCCAGGACCTAATGGTAGACAGAGAGAACCAACTCCTACTGACCTCCACACTTGCGTTTTGCCATGGCACATGCACCACCACCATCTCCTGCCTCACAATAAATAAACAAACAAACAAATGTAGTACTTAAAAAAAATCTATTGAGGGGGCTGCCTGCTCTTCCAGAGGTCCCAAGTTCAATTCCCAGTAACCACATGGTGGCTCACAACCATCCGTTATGAGATCTGGTGCCCTCTTCTGGTGTGCAGATATATACATGGAAGCAGAATGTTTTACACATAATAAATAAATAAAAACCTTTTTTTTAAAAAAAATATGGCTATGAAAGTGTTTGTGATCATAAGTGGGGGAGAATTTACCATTCTCTATATTGCTTGTGAAGTCTGTACAAATTATAAACTATCATGAACTATTAAGGGCTAGGGATGGAGCTTAGTTAGTACAGTGCTTGCCTAGCATGCACAACACCCTGGACTTGATCCCCAGAACCACATAAACTAGGATGCCTATAATCCCAGTACTTGGGAGGTGAGGAAAGGAGGATCAGGAGTTCAAACCGAGCCTTGGCTACATGAGATCTTGTCTCAAAGCAAAACAAAAACTCATCTATAGGTATATTAAAAAGCAAGATGGCCCTTCTGGAGACAGAAGGGGACAAGAAGAATGTAGACTCAGGAGCCACACTGAGGGACTGTGAAAGCGACAGCAGGGCCTGGCCGGGCCACAGGGCCCCTACCTCTGGTGAGGGCAGCTTATCCATCAGCAGTTCATCTATGGTGGTGCTCAGCAGCTGCTCTCCCAAGATCTCAGTCAGATGCTGTGCCAAGGTCTGCTGCTGCTCCCAGGAGCAGTGGTTCTCCAGAGACAAGATGAGTGGGTAGTCTGATGACTGGCGGAGGCAGGGGATGATGCAATTACAATGAAAAAGTCCTGTAGTCTACTACACCAAATTCTGTGTTTCTAGCCCCCACTTATGAACTCCAGTGAGCATACTGAGTGCTAAATCTCCCCCAGCCCCATTAGAAGGCTTGGCCGATCTCAGGTCCACTCCTTGGGACGTATCCACATCTAAGGGTCACTCTTGAGACCTCAAATCTTGTAATGATACCAAATCTGATCCAAGTCCTTCTGAGGTCTTTGGAGCTTTCAGTCTCAGTGTGGATGACAGGCTATTCCTCTAGTTATGAACTCACATTAGACTCTCATCTCTAGATCCCATTGTCCTCCAGCCCAACTCACCACTCACCCTCCCCTGCCCATCCTCCCCTACATAGGTAACAGAAAGTTTTGGAAGTAGTTACTAGGAATTAGTGATTACCTGTAAAATACTAATTATTAGTAACATATCCAACACTTAGTCATAGTAATCTTTTAATATTTGTCTGACGATTTAGAGTTAGATAACTTTTACTGGCTGAAGGGTAGTGGCACATGCCTTTAATTCCAGCACTTGGGAGGCAAAGGCAGGCAGACCTCTACGAGTTAGAGGTCAGAATGGTCTATAGAGTGAGTTCCAGGACAGCCAGGGCTATTACACAGAAAAATCCTGTCTTGAAAAAAAAACAAAAATAAATAAATTTTTAAAATAACAAAAAAAACCCCTTCTTTTGTCTATATCACACCACTTGCACTGTCTCTCTGCTCTTCCATCCTCATTAGGCCAAGTCAGTCATATTTTCCTCAGACCTTCTTGCCTTTTTTAGTGTTGTTCCCAATCTGGGGCTACTACCTGGAAGGCATATTGTGCTATTGTGGCCACGACATCTTTGAACAGGATCCGAGAGGTCAGGGTATGTCCATGGTAAACAATGGGCTCCCCACCAGGTCCATCCCATACATCCACCTCCACACAGCGGCAACCACGCTTCAAGGCCCTGCAAGAACCCCAAACCCCCCCGAGAGAGAGAGGTCAAAGTGCGATCTACCAGAGGAGCCATCTCTTCTTGCTCTGGAAAGAACAATGTCAGGTGGTAGTGGTGGCTCTGACCTTTAATCCCAGTACTTGGGAGGCAGTATCTCTGTGAGTTCGAGGCCAGCCTGGTCTACAGAGCTAGTACAGGACAGCTAGGGCTACACAATACAGTGAAACCCTGTCTCAAAAAACAAAAAACAAAACAATAACAACAAAAAATAATGCTCTCTAGCATTTGCCCATCCAGACCACTTCAAGTAACATCTCCATGGAAGAATCTCAGTCCACTGGGTCATGGCTGCAGCTCACATCTATCTCCACCTAGCCCCAGCTCATAATCCTCCCTGGCAAGCCATTACATATTACCTCACAATATTTCCACTATTCTGAATGTAATATCTCAATATGGCACTTAGGTCATTCAAACTCCTAGTAAATCCACCCCTCTACTGATGTTTGAAACAGGGTCTTTTACCAGACAGCCTGGAATTGATAACCTTTGTTTATGCTGGGATTTCAGATGTGTGCCTCTCTCCAACAGGATTAATCCCAGAGCTCCATACATGCTTTACCACTGAGCTACAATCCCTTGTGTCCTTCTAGCTACCCAGTCGGTCAGCTGCCAGTGCTACAATGCTGTCTTGATGTCAGTCTCATCTTGATTAATCACAACAATGGCAACTACCTCTGATGAGCTACTAACTGATAGATCGTGCCCTTTAGTCTTCAAAAGAACCCTGACAGAAACGGCACGGTTATCATTTCTATTTTGCAGAGGCTAATTAGCCCCCAGAACACCAAGAGAGCTAGAATTTGATCTGAAATGGACTGACTCTAGAGCCCATGTTTTTATCTCTACATCCCACTGCCTTTCCTTTAAAGCAGTGGTTCTCAACTTGTGGGTCTCAACCCTTTTGGCAAACCTCTATCTCCAAAAAATATTTACACTACAATTCATAGTGGAAGCAAAATGACAGGTATGAAGTAGCAACAGAAATGATTTTTATGGTTGGGGGGTAACCACAACATGAGGAACAGTATTAAAGGGTCACAGCAGTAGAAAGGGCTGAGAACCACTGCTTTAAAGCATTTCATTTACTAGCTCAAAATAAACACTGGGACCTGAATTCTCAGAGTTTCCTAGCTTGTGACTGAGAAGAATTCCTTTTATCTGTAGCATTTCATTACCATTCTGCAAGTTTCTCTGGTACCCAGAAATGTGAGGACCCTAAGCTCTCTATATCTCAATTCCTGTTATCCACCCCTTAGTTTCCCACAGGTAGTCCATCTCATGAGCTGGACCCCCTCATACCACCACTGTACCTTATGTATCCTTCCACACTGCTCTGGCCACAAAATTGGTTCCTCAGTAGGTAGGTGTTGTGAGAGGAGTTGATGTAGTAGTGGTTCAGAGGCCGAGTCATATCCTGGTAGACAGGGAGGCAGTTTGGGTTGAAGATGTTTCCATCCTTCGAGCAGAGGTAGCGGAGGAAGCCATCCTTGCTCAGCACGTGCAGCAATCTGCCTAGAGTGTAGAGTGGGGACCAGGAAAGCAAGAAGGTCTGAGAAGATCTGGCACACCCATAAGCCTCTTCTCAGGTCCCCTTCCTTGGGCTCTGGCCCCTTAGATGCCTATTACCAGCCTGCAGATCCTGAATTTGCCACATGTCATACCTGCCATTCGAAACAGTACTTTCCCAGCTATCTAGACCTTTTTCTTCCTTTACTTTTCTTTTCTTTTTTCTTTCTTCCTTCTACTTTCCTTTCCTTTTTTAAAAAACAGGTTCTCACTATATAGCCCTAGCTGGCCTGGGACTGTCTGTGTAGGCTAGGCTTGACTCAAACACACAGAGATCCAGGTGAGATGGCACACACCTTTAATTTCAACACTTAAGAGATAGAGGCACATCCTAGAGCCTTCATCCAGTGGCTGATGGAAGCAGAGGCAGACACCGACAGCTAAACACTGAACTGAACTCTGCAATTCAGTTGCAAAGAGGGAGTAGTTGCAAAGGGGTCAAGACCAGGCTGGTGAAACCCACAAAACAGCTGACCTGAACAAGGGGGAGCGCATGGACCCCAGACTGATGTCTGGGAGGCCAGCACAGGACTGATACAGACCCCTGAACATGGGGTGAGAAGGCCTCAGCACTCTATGGGGTTTCTGGTAGTAGATCAGTATTTATCCCTGGCATAAGAAAGAACTTTGGGGGCGCTGGAGAGATGGCTCAGCGGTTAAGAGCATCAACTGCTCTTCCATAGGTCCTGAGTTCAATTCTCAGCAACCACATGGTGGCTCACAACCATCCATTATAAGATCTGGTGCCCTCTTCTGGTGTGCAGATGTACATGGAAGCAGAATGTTGTATACACAATAAATAAATAAATCTTAAAAAAAAAAAAGGCCGGGTGGTGGTGGCGCACGCTTTTAATCCCATCAGAGGCAGGTGGATCACTGTGAGTTCGAGACTAGCCTGGTCTACAAGAGCTAGTTCCAGGACAGCCTCCAAAGCCACAGGGAAACCCTGTCTCCAAAAACCAAAAAAAAGAAAGAAAGAAAGAAAAAAAAAGAGCAAAGAAAAGAAAGAAAGAAAGAACTTTGGGGGCCCATTCCACGTGGAGGAATGCTTTCTCAGCCTGGACACATGGGGGAGGGCCTAGGCCCTACCCAGGATGATACGACAGACTTTGGGGAATCCCCCATAGAGGGACTTACCCTACCTGGGAAGCAGAGGAGTGATGGGGTGGGGGGTTGATGGGGGTGAGGGAGGAGGGGAGGGAAAGGGTGAAGGGATTGACATGTGAAGAGGCTTGGTTCTAATTTGAACTAATAGAAAAAATAATTTCTTGGAAAAAAAAGAGATAGAGGCAGGCAGATCTCTGAGTTTTAGGTCAGCCTGGTCTACATAGTCAAATTCAGTCAGAGTTACATAGTGAGATCCAGTCTTGGAAGCAAAACAAAAACCAACCACTCAGAGATCCTTCTGCTTGGATTAAATGCGGGTGCCACAATGCCTGCCATGTGCTCTCTGACCCTCCTCACTCGCATGCTCTCATCCTCTCCCTCTCTCTTTACATTTATTATTTATTTTGTGCATGTGTATGATGTGTGTGTAGGGTGTGCACACTATGTGCTATGCACTTTTGTGAAAGTCAGAGGACAATTTGCAAGAATCAATTCTCTTCTATCCTGTGGGACCACAGGCTCAAACTCAGGTCATCAGGTGTGGCAGCAAGCACCTTGCCCACTGAGTCACCTGAGTCGTCTTGCCAGTCCTCCCCTTAATTCTTTTTTAAATAAACTGTCTCTATTTCTATCAGTAAAAAAAGAAAATCATTTTGGCAGGACCTGGTGGTACACACCTATAATCACATTACTTGTGAGGTACAAGCCATGGGATCTTGACTTTTTGGTTCAAAGCCAGCCTTGGCCACAGCATGAGGTTGTGTCTTAAAAAAACTAGCCAGGTGTTGGTGGAGCATGCCTTTAATCCTAGCACTTGGGAGGCAGAGGCAGGCAGATCTATGTGAGTTCAAGGCCAGCCTGGTCTACAGAGTGAGTGCCAGGACAGGCTCCAAAGCAATACACAGAAATCTGGTCTCAAAACAACAACAAAAACAAAAAAACACACAAACAAACAAAAGACAACAAAAAAACCTAACAGACCAAACATTCTAGTTCAGTGTTATTCAACAGAATGGTACACAACCATGAGAATGCTCTATTCTGCATTATTGGACACAGCATCCCCTAGACACATGTATCTATGGACACATGAAATATGGCTTGTGTGCCTGAGGCAGTAATTTTGTAGTTTTAGTTGATTTTGATCCATTTAAATGTGCTCTTGGAGCTGAAAGTTACCATAAAAGATGGCACAGAACCCAGTTCTAAGGCCTAAGGATATAGCTAGAAAAGTTACTAGTAACTGGCCAAAGTGCCTATGCTTTCTTCCTTGGGCTGTGCAGTCATATGACCTATGCTATGACCTGTGGTATTTAGAGGGACATTTGTCAACATCTCCTTAGACTATACTCTTGCTGAAGAAATGGCCTTTGACTCCTTCCACGGGCCTCACTATTCTCAGTATGGACTTCACACAGTAACAACAGCAACTAGCAGATATTGGGCACTTATTCCATACAAGGAGATTATGTATTGCAGTTCACTAACACACTGAGATAAGTATTGCAATACAGCTACTATGGCAAGGTAGATAGCTTGCCCCAAGTCACATGGCTAGTTTAAGTGAAGGAGCTAGGATTTGAACCCAAGCAGTCAGATGTCAGTGTCATGCCTTGCATTGCTGGGCTGTGGAGTTGCACTGAAGGTAATTTAGTTGGAGAGAAGATTGGTTGAAAGGGTAGGACAACCTGTTGCTCATGACCAACTTCCGAGATCTAGGTTTAACAAATCATGGAGTGAAGAATGGCAGGAATTTGGGTAGGAAGTTTCAGTTGACAACCCCACTTCTCAACATGATGCATTGGAATTCAGTTCTTAACATGTGTGCCTTAGGGGACACATTCAAGCCATGACAGATGTACTTGATATAATTGATTCTGTTCTGGAACAGAAGATCCTATTATTTGCTTCAGACTTCTTCAGTTTTATTTCCTGGCTAGCATGGTTGTACCCAATTGTTTTTGTTTATTTTGTTTTGTTGTGTTTTCAAGACAGGGTTTCACTGTGTAGCCCTGGCTGTCCTGGAACTTACTCTGTAGACCAAGCTGGCCTTGAATCAGAGATCTGCCTGCCTCTGTCTCCCAAGCGCTGGGATTAAAGGCCATCACACTCAGCTTGAGATGCTATTTCAAATTTAAGAAAATATTTTGTTTAGAGTTATTTGGCCATGGGGCAAACTATTTTTGTTTAGAGCAAAGGATTTTGCTTTAGAGTATATCCATACATCAGAAATCACTGATACTCTAACTACTCTGACACATTGTTTGACTCTGAGTTCCAGGAGGGCAATATTCCTGTCTGGTCTAAGCATGATTGTCTCTATGGTGCTTGGTCTAGGTCCTGATACATTATACTCAATAAGAATTCCTCGATTTCTGTGCTGATATCGCTCCTGGCAACATGGTGAACATTCCTAAAACCTGCCAGACGTTCTGCAAGAAATGTGGCAAGCACCAGCCACATAAAGTGACACAGTACAAGAAGGGCAAGGACTCTTTGTATGCCCAGGGAAAGCACCGTTATGACAGGAAACAGGGTGCCTATGGTGGGCAGACTAAGCCTATTTTTCTGAAAAAAAGGCTAAAACTACAAAGAAGATTGTGCTGAGGTTTGAGTGTGTTGAGCCCAACTGCAGGGCTGGCTATTAAGAGATGCAAGCATTTTGAAGCATAAGAAGAGAAAGGGTCAAGTGATCCAGTTCTAAGCTGCTCTTGTTATGGAGACAATAAAATCACAATAAAAGAAACTCAAAAAAAAAAAAAGAATTCCTCACCAAGTGGTGGTGGTGCACGCCTTTAATCCCAGCACTCCCGGAGGCAGAGGCTGGTGGATTTCTGAGTTCCAGGTCAGCCTGGTCTACAGAGAAAGTCCCAGGACGACCAGGGCTACACAGAGAAACCCTATCTGGAAAAACAAACAAAAAAAGAATTCACCAAAGTGGTGAATGAATGAATGAATGAATGAATGAGAGTGAAAGTTGAGGCCCAGGAAACCTGGACTGCTTGTCCATCCCAATCATCTTACTCTATCATTTTCATGAGAGACATTACTTGGGGGATAACTTGGGTTTGGATTCCAGTTCCATTCTCATTAGTTGCTGGCTTCGAGAAAGTTGTTTAATCTCTCTTTTATTTTTATTTTATTGTGTTTTTGTGTGAGTGTGGTGTAGGTGCATATGTGTACAAGTGTGTGTGTAGAGGCCAGAGAAGATGTCCAGTGTACCTCTACCATTGAGATAGGGGCTTTCACTGAACCTGAAACCAGGCTGACAGACAGCTAGAAAGCCCTGGTGACTCGCATCTCGGAGGTTTCAGACACACCTGTAACCAGGGCTGGCCTTTCACTCGGGTGCTAGGATCTGATCTCAGGTCATCTTGCTCACACAGCCAGCGCTCTTACCTATGGAGCCACCTCTCCAGATGCCCATTTGAGTTTTTGAAGATTTGAAAAATCTGTTTTCCTATTTCTAAAACTGACTTAATAATATAGCCTATTTTATCAGGAAGGCTAAGCCAAGAAAAGGCTGTAGAAATGTTAGCACACTGTGGGATACTCAGTGAAATCCCACTGGGTTGATTTTATTTTCCATTTTACAAAGCTGCAGTGAGGACTAAATTAAGCGAAGAATGTGAAAAGTGCTTTGTAAATAATTTACTATTGATAGAAACTTCTCACATTCTGAAGAGCGAAGGGGTGGAGGTGAGTTCACTAAAGGTCAAAGTAGAGGAAAGTTGAATGATAAAGAAGGCATGTTTTAGCTGTACTTGTCAAATGTACACAGCCCCCAGGCCTAGGCTGACTAGATTAATGATTCAAGGGCTTAAGGACTCGAGACGACCTTAGAGAACTTCCAGGAATGATCAGGAAGCTGACATAAAGAATCATTGCATGGGAGGAGGCGAGAGTGAGAGAGCAAGTGTTTTCTTCCTTCACTGAGAGCAAAGTTGGTACAGTGAAGAATTCTCCCAAAATTGCCGGGTGGTGGCGGCGCACGCCTTTAATCCCAGCACTGGGGAGGCAGAGGCGGGTGGATCTCTGTGAGTTCAAAACCAGCCTGGTCTACAAGAGCTAGTTCCAGGACACAGGGAAACCCTGTCTCAAAAAAACAAAAACAAAACAAAAAAGAGTTCTCCCAAAGTAAAGGATGTGAAATGTGAGCACAGAGGAGGAGAGGGGACCTCAGACTCTCTTTCTCCTAAGAGATTAAAAACATACCCATTGCTGTCTTATCTGACAGGGGATGGCTGCTCTTCTAAAGCTTATGCGGTTTGCTGAGATGATTAGAAAGGAGGCCAGGACAGGGGTGAACTCATTCTCCATTACGTTAGAAGACTCTGTCTCCAGGTCTTTCTTCTTTTTAGCCCCCTCTTCATTCCCTATGTCTAGCATCTATACACCCAGTTGTCCTTACCATTCTCTGAAGGCTCATAGAGGTCAATAAATTCCAGAGCAAGGTCAGGGGCATTGTCTTTTTCTTTCTGCTCCTCTCTAAGGAAATCCACAAATTCCAGCAGGGTCAGCTTCTGTCCATCTGATGAAAAGTTCTCGAATAGTTGCTCAATCTCAGTACGCTTAGTCAGTGCCTTATAGAACTGTACAAATTCTTCTCCTTCTAGAGTATCAGACTGGGACACATTTGCTTCCTGCAAGAGAAGATTTAGCAGGGAATGGATGAACCCTGGGAAATGGTATGATCTTTTGTCCTGTAGGGTTGTATGGCCAGCAAGCTTTGGGAATCTCTCTGTCTCTCTCTGTGTCTCTGTGTCTCTGTCTCTCTCTCTCTCTCTCTGTGTGTGTGTGTGTGTGTCTCTCTGTGTGTCTCTCTTAGTGTCTCTGTCTCTGTCTCTGTCTCTCTCTCTCTCCCCTGACACACACAATGAAGGGACCAGCTCCCCATTTGGCAGCCATAACAGCCGAACACATACTTGCCTGACCTAGCCTTGGTCACCAGGAGGTCAGATGCCTGCCTCATGGCAAGGAACCAATCAGAAGTTAGCTGGTGGTGCTATGCCTTACTGCTCTGGGTGTGCTTAAGGACAAGTGCACAGCAATGATGCACAGAGCATAGCAACCACCCTGGGAGGGCCTATGGGCCATAACAACCAGTTAACCAATCAACACAGGGCACACCCTCCAAGCCTGGAGGCACACCAATCCTGAGCCTGTGTGTACCCTAGACACTCCCCTTACGCTGCCCTATAAGATCTCTATGCAGTGGCTTCTAAGCATCTTTCCTAGCCATCCGCCATGGTAGATGGATGGAAGACCCGAGCTAACATGGGGTTATCTCGTTAAACAACTGCAATAAAACCTCGGGCAGTTTGCATCAAGTTTCCACCTCTGTATGGTGATTGGGGTGGCTGCAGTCCTGGACCAAGATCCTGGGGGCCTGAGCCTCCGGGGGTCTTTCAACACCATGCCTGGTTTTTTACACAGATGCCAGGGTAGAACTTGAGTCTTATTCTTACATGGCAAGGAAGCACTTTACTAGCAGGCTTAAGGGGCATTTTAGCTTGTGTTTATAAAACTCTCACAGAACTCCTGAGATTTCATAGAGGTCACTCCAGGAAATAAAAGGCAAAGGGTTAGCCCTATCATTTGTTGGAGCGAGAAGTTTTAGCCAGAAAAATTATATCTCTCAAAAAAATGTTTTTAGATGGTTAGAAGAGAACTGGGAGCAATGGTACACACCTTTAATCCCAATTTAGGATCAGGAGTTCAAGGTCATCTTCAGCTACATATTGAGTTTGATCCCAGTTGAAAACAAGCAAACAGCAACAACTAGGCAGAGTGTGCCACCTCCTTTATCACACTGCAGATGGAACTTTGTAGTGGGTGCCTGTGAAGCTGTGGCTCTCAACAGGAAGGTCCAACATAGTAACATACTGGGCTTTTTGGTTTGTTTTGTTTTTTGAGACAGGATCTCTCTACGTAGTCCTGGCTGTCCTGGAATTTGCTCTGTAGACCAAGGCTGGTCTCCAACTCAGAGATCCACCTGCTTCTGCCTCCCAAGTGCTGGGACTAAAGGCGTGTGTCACCACTCAACTCCAATATAACAGCAGGCTGTTGTTTTCTTCTGGTAGGGATTATGACTCATCCTCCCAACAAGACAGAGGTGACAGAATCATTCCCCACACCAATCCCACTGAGCTTATTATGGCAAAGTAAAGATTCAACGAATGAATGGTCTTGAGTGGGGTCAGGGACCTTCTGGCCAAGTGAAAACATGGTCTGGCTGGCTCCTGCACACCCTCCCCAGCACACATACCTGAAAAAGACTGAAGGCATATTCTTGATCCATCTCCACGTTCATCAGAAGCAGCAGCCGTTGAGCTTCTTTGAAACTCATCCTGCCATCCTGGTTTCTGTCTCCTCGGTGAAACCACTCTCTCACCCATCCAGCTCTGAGTCAAGGCAAAAGTGCTGTGTGTGTTCATCCACTGACACCTCTCCTAATGTCTCTCCCAAGACAACCTATTCTTTACATAGCTTCTAGAATAACCTCTCCTGAACAGATTTCTATCTTGCCAATGTATGGCTCTGGTGCCTGCAGGGACCCCCTTCCCCTGCCTGTTGTCGACAGAGAGAAACCTAAATTATGATAGAGAGTTAAGATGCCCTGACCCTTGTGATCCGGCCCAGCCCAGTCCTGCCCAGCCCTCTCATTGTGTCTGTCTTTGTACTTCTGCCAGGCTCAGCAACTCCTCAACAGCATCCCTGACCTGCTTCCTTCAGTCTCCTCTCAGACAGGAGTGCCTTTCTCATCTCTTTCTTCAGGGTTCAATAATACTGTTTTTCTTTCTTTCTTTGACAGGTAGCCAAGGCTAGCCTCAAACTTGCCATGTAGCCAAGGATGACTTTGACCTTCTGATTCTCATGTTTCTGCCTCCTGGGTACCGGAATTACCGGCACAAGTTGTCATGCCCAGTGTACGCTGTGTTGGGATCGATCCCAGCGCTTCTTGCATGCTAGGTAAGCACTTCACCAACACAGCTACATCTCCAGTTCAATTTTTAAGGACCCAACTTACATGCTGCTTCTTCCTGGCACTTTCTCAGAACACTCTTAGGTAGAATCAAGCAGTCCTCTAATTTGGTACTTAAATTATTTACACAAATTGATTCTCTCCACTAAGTAAAGTAATCTATGTGGTCTCATTAATCTTCACATCCCCTAAAACTAGGCATAATGGTGGATATTAGTGTGGCTAATTGGTACTGAATGAATGTATACGTGCATGAAGTAATGTACAATCTAGGAACTCCTTTTACAATTACTGGAGGGTCTGTAAGCCGCTGTGTGTTGGGGGGGGGTGGGGTTCACGAGGACTGGGAGTCAGTTCCCTCACCACCTCGGCTCCAGGGATTGAATTCAGGCTGTCAAGCTTGGTCACAAGCACCTTCACTGTCTGAACCATCTCAGTGACTTCAATCTAGGGATCTTTAGGGGCGTCTACATCACTGCACCTGGCAGTGAATGTCACGGGGTGTCTTTTTAGTTGTCAGAAGCAGCCCCTTGCTGGCTCTTCTTTCTCCTCTCCTGGACTTGGGTTCTCATTCTCACACTCTGACTGGCAACCATCCATTTCTCCTTCAGAATCATCAGCTCTATACTGGCCTCTTTCTCTCTTCACACCACCTACATCCTTTGGCTTTTCTATTGCTGCACTCCTTCTCATCTTCCCTGGTTCTGAAGCATCTGGCCCCTTCACTAACCCCTGTCCACACCCTAACTCCATCTGGTTGATACTGGTCCATTTGCTCCTGGTAGTCCATGCTGGCGACAAGATCTACCAACAGCTGGAGTCCTCGCATCCAAATCTGGGCCTCTTCAACACTGTTGGCCACTAGGTCCAGGTTAGGTCGGCGACCATGAAAGACGATGGTGAAGCCTTGCTCCAGGGGGAACTCTTCCACCAGACAGCGCAGCAACTCAGAATCATGGCCCTTACGTATTGTCTCCACATCAGAGATTGAAACTGTCAGAGAAGAAACAGGTGGGAGCACTGAGGAAAGGAGTCTGACAAATAGCAGGGGATAAGGAATGGTGCCCAGAACTCCTTTCTCTATGAAGACACAGAGAGGAGGAACCTGAGCTTCTGCAGGCTGAATCCCAAAGGACACTAGGACAGGGTGATGGAGACCCAGTGGTTCAGGGTTAACATGAGTCAGCGTTTTCTTAAGCAGCATGGCAAGGAGCTACAGCTAGATATGGCAAGACCTGACTCCCAGCCGCCAGCTGGCAGTGTGAAGACCCAAACTTAACCCCTCAGTGTCCACATCTTAAATAGTGGATGGTTCCTCTTCATGGCAGGTCACAATAGTTCCCACAGGAGAACTAGCAAGTATGCCAATACATCTGTACAATAGTGACACCAAAAGAGTGTAGTGTATGTGAGTCAGAGAAATTCCTCCGTTCCCTACCTCAGTTCAGGGGTGTGTGGTTCGTGAGTACTGACTATGTGTCTAAAGCAGACTCTGTCTATTCCATAATCAAGTGTTTAAAGAGATCATAAAGAGCTTGGCCATAGGATGCATACTGTTGGGATGCATTTTATGCTCTGAAATATTGTAATGGCTAACATTTATAAAATTTGTCCAGGTTTCAGAACTCACACTAGATGTTTCACACATTAGCTCATCAAGTCTCTATAAATTACAGGTAGATGCTGGTTAACCTCCATTCTGTAGATGAGAAACCTAAGTTCATTTAAGTAATTTGTCCAAAGCTGCTCACCCAGAAAGTGGTAGAGCCAGAGTTTTAATCCAGACATTGTGCTCACAGTCATAATCACCATAATAAATAACCTATTATTTGTGGAGACTCATCATGTGCCAGGGCTCTTCTAAAACTCCTATGTGTAATAACTAATGGAATCCTCATTACAGTCTTACAAAGGCAAAGGCTGGTTTGTCATTTTGCAGAGAGCCACACAAGTGGCCCTGCACAGGAGACCACTCTCACAGGATCCTGGTCCTTCCACTGCCCTCAAACTTCTGGATTCCTCAGAGACCTGTCCACCCATATACCCACCCACAGCTATTAAGGTCACTCACAAGTGGGCTTGGCTATGCCTTCAGCTTGCCGTGCATGCCAGACTGTCATGCCGTCATTCTGAAGTTTGAAGTATCTTAGCTTCTTCCAGGATTTGGTCCTCACCTTGCGCATCATCATGCCTTCTTGCATCAGCAGCAGGTCCTGATCAGTGGTCAGTCCTGAGCCAGGAAAAGCAGGGGCTTATTTAGCCAGTGGGGAGGCTGGAGGGACCAAAGGAGCTCTGCAACCAGGGTCTAATCTGCTTCATTCCCCAGGCTTTCCCCCAAGACCTCTTCCCCTACGGGGGTACTCACGGTCTTGAATGTGAGATGCCATCACCCACTGCTCCACCAGCTGGTGCCAGAGTCAACAAAAGGAACGAGGAGGAGCAAAGGGCTTTGGGTGAGTCCTAGAGATTAAGAGAACAAGAGAAGGAAACCCAAGGTTTCCTTAGTGGCGTGTATCAGATACTTCATCTAGTCAGTAGCTATTTGCACTTCTGAATTTACTGACTCTGAGGCTGAGCTAGGCTAAGAAACCTGTCTCAATTCATGCATAGATAAGAATTTAAAATAAGATCCATAGATCTATCTTTGTTAACTAGTTCCCATAGCTATCTCCAGGGAAGCTAAAGCAGGGCATATTCCAAACACTGTCTTGCTATCTACACTCAGTAGGTAACTTTGCTCCACACCTTGCTCATTCCCCATGTCCTCATTATTAGGGTCTACTATCTTGCAGCCAACAGTTATCAGAACCTAGAGTCTGTCCCACACCGTAGCTGTGTCTCCTCCAGGTAGGATTATTCCAGTTTTTTCCTTTCTTGAGCCCTGCCTACACTCTCACGTTCATCGTGTCAAATTCCTTAAGAGCTAGGGCAGAATCTTTTTTCTTTCTGTTTGTGCAGAGTCTCATGTAGCCAAAGACTGGCCTTTAACTCCTGATCCTCTTGTTCCCAACTACAGACAGAGTGCTGGTGGCATCACAGATGCGATGCCCAGCCCAGCATCACGTTCAACATTTTTGTTGTTGTTTTTTGTTTGTTGTTGTTGTCAAGACAGGTTTTTTTGTGTTGTTTTGTTTTTGTTTTTGTGTAGTCCTGGTTGTCCTGGAACTCACTGTAGACCAGGCTGGCCTTGAGCTCACACAGATCTACTTCTGCCTCCCAAGTGCTGGGATTCTGCACCACCATGCCTGGGCAGGAAGTCTAAGGAGATTGTAAGAGTCACTAAAAATACTTCTCTTACTTAAAGACCCGGAGAAGGCTCTCTAAAGGGGTAAAGGAGTGAGGGGCAAAAGGTGAGGAATAGTCTTTTGGGAGAGAAACAGGTGTGACAGTTTTAGGAAGAAAGTTTTCCTGGCTGAGGCTGAATATGTGCTGAGATTAGAAGCCCTCTGGATGGAAGAAAGGACAAAAAATGCTCCTTCAGAGGCAGGAAGCATCTCCTTTTCTAGGTGTGGCTGCACTGTGTGGAATCACCACATAGCTTAAAACTGCTGTATGAAAACTGGAGAAAGTAATATGTCACTCTTGAATTCCATAGGTGCTCAGACCATAGTTGGGTGAGGGTGACGCCTATCTCCTGTGCCAAAAATCTTGCCTTCAGTCCTCTCTAAATTTCAGCTTCCATCTTGTGGGCACAGGACTCTGTAGTGGGTCTTGGGCTTGGAAGAAGACAGATTACCTTCTCTGTTCCTGTGTCCAGGAGCCTTATATGTCCTGGAACATGGGAAGCCTGAGAACAGAGCCCAGGAGCCAGAACAGTTTCCCAAAACAGCCTTGGAAAACCACTTTGCCATTTTTTTCTCGTCTAACCTGTCCCCATTCCAGAGCAATGGTGTTAACTTGTAGGCATGTGATATATGGTTAAGAGAATGCCAGCAGCACCTCAGCAAGCCACTGCACATGAGAACTGAGCTTCATGGAGGAGACTGAAGACCAGGAAGACTGGCTGTCCTGCCAGAGTCACTTAGTGACAGAACTGCAATAGAGTGCAGGTTTGTCTACAACCAGTGCAGAGCTCACCAACTCTTCCCTTAGTAAGGGCCTCCTCCAGAAGGCAGGCTGAAGGAAGGCCAGGAATCAGTGAGGGACACTGGTCATCTCTCTCTGCATTCCATCATCTTCTGGGTCCCCCATATCCCACCAAACAAGTTTCTTTTCTTCCCATTTTCTTGACTTTCCCATTCCATGTCTAACCTCTTTCTTTTCCTCTCTTCCTAGCTCACTCTTTTCTTTCTCACAATCCTCTCTGTTCACTTAAGTCATGCTTTTTGTGTTCTCTTCTTATCCTTCTCATCCTTTTCCTCCATCACCTTTTCCTGCCATTCCCCTCCTTTATCTCCACTAATTCCTAATAGCTCTGATTCTCAGCCTCTTTACGGATTATGAGTCTATAGTCCAGGAGAGAGGACACTTTGCTTTGGATACTCAGTAACATGCCCCTCCTCTCAGCCTCACTTTCCCCTGTATCCTAGGAGACTGACTAAACAAAGTGCCCAAAGAATGTGTTAGAACCTAAATGTTCTAGGGCTTGGTGTTTCTGCTAGTGTCTGAAAGGAAGGATGGTTACAACGGATGCAGGTGCAGTGGGGTGAGAAGAAACAAAGGGTTTGGGAGACGGGGCACCAGCCAGGACACAGAGGATTAAATCTCAAAGCAAGAGAGATTGGGTCAGCTAGGCATGATGGGAATCTTAGCACTTGGGAGATAGAAGCGAAGGATCAGGTGTTCAAGGTCATCCTTGGCTACATAGGAAGTTTGAGGGCAGCCTGGGTTCACACACAGAAAGAGATGAACACATATACATCTATTTGGAATCTTTGAGGGTACAGATAATAACCTCTGCAATATAGAGATATAGAGACAAACTTTCCTAGAACTAGTGGCCCAGTATTACAGAGCAAGCAAGATTTGGTCCTCCAGGTGGCTTTATATCATCTACAGATGGACTTGGGAAGTGGCAACATATGTGCCAATGGCATTACAGTAGGATCCAGAGTATCTCAAATTTCTTTCTGAGGGGCAGGAAAGAAGAGAATTATTTTGTCTATTTTCTTGCTTCTGAAAGAGGTTATGGCCAACCTGTTTCATTTCATATAAAGTGAATAGGATGGCTCTGGTCACAGGCCATAGCCCTGAAAATGTTAGAACTTGAAGGCTCTCTTACAACACATAGACTTGAGCCTAGATCAGTATCTCCAGAAGAGTGTCTTAAAATTTGCCAGATTAAAATTTCCAAGGATGAGGCATGAGAATATTTAGTAGGCATCCTAACACGTACTCCTGGTACCAAGGCAAGTCTGGAAGTCTAAATTCCCCTATTACAGATCAAGAAGCTGTCTGCAGGCTGTATGCTGGTGTACCAAGAACTTGCCCTGGCTCATTAAGCAGGCAAGGAACAAAGCACAGAACTCAAACCCTGACTCTTTCCAGGGATGTCTTAAAATTATCTCCCTACTACTAGGAGTTCTGGTACCTCATGGGTTTTGGACAAGCCTCATTTGTTAGTCCTCAACAGTCTATTAATGCATCTTCATTGATAAGTATCTACTCTAATTCTGCCTCTTCTTCTATTGGGGTGGTGTCACCTCTGAGAAGTGGCTCAGCGGGTCAGCACTTATGGCTCTGGACAGCTAAAAGTTTTCTCTAGAAAAGGGTGATTGACACAGCCAAAAAGAAAACTGCTTAAGCCTGGCAGTGATGGCAACACATGCTTTAATCCCAGCACTCGAGAGACAGAGGCAGGTGTATCTCTGAGTTCGAGGCCAGCCTGGTCTACAGAATGAGTTAGTTTTCGGACAGCCAGGGCTTCCCAGGGAAACCCTGTCTCAAAAAACCAAAACAAACAAACACACAAACACATAAAACTGTTTTAAGTCAAGGGACAAACTGAAGAGAACCAGTAGGAGGGAGGGAGACCCTTGGAGCCTCAGGGTGGAAAAGGGAGCCTGGTTTGACTTAATTAGGATAGGTAGCATCCTGACTGTATGTAGAGCTGAGTTAGGACTCAGGCAGGCTTGGGTAGAGGTTGGTTAGAGCTCCAGGGCCCTTACCGTGGGTAAGATAGTAATCCTGTCTGTGAGCAACGCCTCCTCCGGAACTCTGAAATGCTCTCCCCCGAGAATAAGCAGACTCAGTCTGGGCTCCTTTTCTCCTTTGCACTTGACTGCTTCTTCCCGTCCCGCAGTTTGCTGCTGTAACTGGCAGAGTTGCAGCCAGGGAGAAGGAGTAGGGTGGGGAGAGGTGTGAGCGCTTTCCTCAGTCCAGCCTATCTAACTCTTAAAGGCCCAGGACACTGGTCAATGTAAGGAGTTGTGGGGGGTGGGGTGGCAGAAAAGGATTAAGGGAACAGATTGAGGTTGACAGGCAACACATCTCCAGGGAGAAGGAGCCTGGCTGCCTTTTATCATGATGCTTCCCAACCATACCCCTTACTGACCCTAATCCCGCAATTGCTCTCAAAAGTGAAACCCAAGGCCTGCCTACTGCAGCTTTGTGAATCACTGCTTTTCATTCTGGTCAGTGTCTGTGTGGAATACCACTGGTTTTGCCCTCATTTCATCTGGCTGCTTTCCACGGCGCCTCTTTCCACCAGCTTGCTCCTGTTTCTGCATCCTGCCTTGCAGGGAAATCATTCTAAGTGTGTAAAAATACAGGAACAGAGCAAGACAGGGAGGAGGGAAGAAATCATAGTTTGAAGGGACAGTATCTATGCTCATATATATGATGGGTGGCTATTTTGTTTTGTTTGGGGTACATTGAGACAGGGTCTCTTATAGCCCAGACTAACCTTGAACTTGATACATAGCTGGGGATGGCCTTGGACTCCAGATCCTCCTGCCCCCACCTCTTGAGTATGAGATTCAGGTGTGTACCATTATGTCCGGTTTGAGTGATGAGGATGAAACCCAGGTCTTCATGTATACTGTGCATGCTCTTTACCTATATCCTCAAGTCCCTAACTCAGTGCCCTTCTTTCTTTTTGTAATCATTTATTCAATGCCAGGCTATTTATTTACTTTTGAGATTGGGATCTTGCCATATAGCCCAGCTGGCCTTGAATTCACAGCCACCTGCCTCATTGTCCCGAGTGTTGGCATTATAGGCAAGTACCGCCATGCCTGGTCACACATAAGGAGTAGAAATGAAGCAGGGTATTCAGATCAGAGGACCCTTTTAGGGAGGTCCACACCCATGCTCCCATACATCTTTCTTCCTGAGCACCTTTCTGTCTTGTACTTAAAAATCAATGTTAACACATCTCCTAATAAATTCCAACTCTGCTAAAAACAAACAGTAAAGTGGAACTGGAAAGATACTCATAAAGGAGCAAGCTCCTTCCATAGGAAAATAAATAGGTAGCTGGCACAGGAGTCAAGATGGAGGAAGGGAACCAAATTAGGTAAGGAAAAAGGACTTGTATAGGGTGTTATTACGACCCCATACTTCACAAATAGGAACTAAGGTCCTGGAAGTTTCTAGACTACATGTTGGCACACTGAAGACAACCAGCCCTTACACATTCCCAAGCAACGAAGCTGGGCTCTGCTTTTGCTTTGCCTTGGGAAGTTTGTGAAATGTGGCCTTCTGGACCAGTAGATGACAGTTAAGGCAGTTATGGGCATAGGTCACTTCTATGGAACTCCTATGAGGTTCTTTTTCAGTGGTGTATTTTAGTCACAGGCACAGAGGGAACTAGCTTTGTGAAATGGCATGATTTTTAGTATGTGGAGTTCTGGCTGCCTCTCATAGTTCCCTCAAATACCTCTCAACTGCCTAATAGTCTGCCACTAGATGTTATTTATAGCTAAATTTTAAGTTCCATTAAAATAAAATCCTAAGTGATGAC